TCCCATTTGGTCCCAGAGGGGAGTCTTCTGAGCAGTTCCAGCTGGCACTGATCTCTGTCCCCTCCCAACCCTCAATGTCGCTGATCACACCACACCTTTTTACACTATCATCGTCATCATCATCATTGTCATCCGCCATAAATTGTATTAAACATTTACTAAGCCCTAAATACTGAGCCAAGTGTTTTACATCAGTCTGCTGTTTAACTCTTAGGACAACCCTCTGAAGTAGGTATGGTTTACAAATGAGGAAATTGAGGCTCAGAGAAGTTAGAGGACATATGTAGAAAGTGGCAGAAACAGGAATTGAACCCAGTTCTCTCTGGTTCCAGAACCTCTTTGCAGCACTCCCCTCTGCACCTTGCTAGAGTGACATTATTTACCTTTTCCCCCACTAATGCTCCTCTACCTCAGTACCTGCTTTACATCTCCCAAGGAATCAGCACAGTAACAAGAGGTTGTTTGGTCGATTTTACATAATTTTCTCAACTTTGAGATGCACTAGAGAAAACTATAGGGTCTGTTTCATCTCCCATCCCTGCTGGGCCAGGGTCCAGCAGCATGGTCTGCATTTATTACCTTCCTTCCCCATTCCTGTCTCTAACATACACCTTGATCCCACTCCGGATCCCTCTTCGTAAAACCCTCTTCGTAGGTGCCTCCCCTTGGCCATCTACACCCCTCTTCCTTCCTCTCCTTACCTGAAACCCAGAGTAGCAGCAGCAGCAGCCATGGCCACCCCCAGAGCCCTGTCCTGTCCATTCTATCAGTTGGGGGCTGGTCCTCCCAGGGGCTCCAGCAGTTGCTGGAGGATGTTGCCCCACATGGGTATTTTCCACCTTCCCTGAGAGGGTTAGCTGTTACTTTGTGATTGAGAAACCCTTAAAGAAATGTGATGAGAGGGACCAGCTCAGGAAAATGCAGAAGGAAAGAGATCACTGCCCTTGTGACACCTTCCTTCTCACTTTCATTGTCATGGGACTCTTGGGCAACACTCACCAATAGCTCCCCATTCTCCATCACAACAAGTCTAGACCCACCCGTCTGATGTCCCACTCTGCTCCACTTACTTCCCCAGGTCACCAAGACATTCTCATCACTGGACACTGACCACTGCCTCCCACAGCCCTCCTGTCTAGAATGAACTGTACATTCACATTTGGTTTGCCCTTCGAGGCCTGGTTCAAACCTTCCTGATGACATGCCCTCTTTAATCTTACTCCACACCATCATTCTCAAGTATGGGCATGTGGCTGAGTCATTTGGGAAGCTTGGCAAACATACACATGCCTGAGCTCCACTCTTGGAGACTCCAGTTTAGTAACTCTAGAGAGGGCCCAGGAATCTGCATTTTAACAAGCAGCCCAGGTGATTCTGAGGCAAGCGGTCCACACAGATAATAACTATAAAAGCTCCATATGAGGTCAGAAGGGTCCCAAGCCTTTCCCAGAGTACTCTGCCTGTGGGTGAGGTGTGTGCTTCCCGGAGTCGCCAACCTAGACATAGGCATGGACACCACAATTATAAAGGTGCTGGGAGAAACAAACTACCATGGGCTGAAAGGTGCTTTCCTCAGGTTATCTCATTTCATCCTATCAGCCTCAGAGGCTGTGTAGTGAGTATTTGTCATCTTTTGGTTCTCCAGCACCCAACACCTTTTCCATTTGGGAGATATGCACCAATGTATGGGTCTCACTAAGACACAGAGCTCCACTTTCCCCTCTGTTCAGATGGAGGCAGATTCCTCCTATACCTGTGGCACAGGCTTGTGACTTGACCTGAGCTTAGCCAAATGCATGATTCTGTGATGGAAGATTTGGGGTCATTTGGAGACAACTGCACATTGAGAGTCTATAATTGGCATGGTGGCAAGTACTGTGGCTTCAAGTGTGCAGGGCAGGGCCTGTAGCATCAATGGCAAGTTCATCACCAGACCGTCTCATGCTATAACCTCAGCTGTGGCCTCTACTGCCCATTTTCTCTTGGTTTCTGCTGTTTTCTTTCTTTTTTCTTTAATTTTCACCCAAGGATATTTTTTCCCATTGCTTTTCAGAGAGAGTGGAAAGGAGAGAGAGAGAGAGGGAGGGAGAGAGAGAGGGAGAGAGAAACATCGATGTGAGGGAGATACATTGATTGGTTGCCTCCCAAAAGCACCCTGACCAGGGCAAGGGATTGAGCCTGCAACTGAAGTATGCACCCTTGACTGGAATCGAGTTCAAGACCCTTCAGTCCTTGGGTTAGTGCTCTAACCACTGAGCAAAACTGGGTAGGTGGTTTCTGCTGTTTTCTAAGCCTGGTCCTCCAGATTTCTCATTGACTCTGTGAGCTACTAATATCTTTCTAAATTCCTTTGCTGTTCAAGATAACCAGAATTGGATTCAGTTGTTGGCATCAAGAATCACGCCTGGTATTGGTTGTTTTGTCCATTAGGCAATGAGGAATATCTCCAGGATGAGGCCCGGGGAGATGAACTGGCTCACTCGAGATCAGACATACTTCAAGGATGTTGTGGAGCTGGGATTCAACCTGGGTGTTGTTTAATTCCAAGGCCTGTGTAAGTAACCACATAATACTATTGAATCCATCAAGGTCTAGCAGGAAACGGGTGGCTCACTGAAACTGAGTAATTGAGACATGTTTGCTAAAAATGTGGTAGACTTGGGGAAATCAGTAACGGATGCTGCAGTACCCTGAGGCTGGTGACAGTGGCGAGTCCTTACCCAAAAGGCAAAGGGATGGAGCAGTTGCCTGAACTTGGAGATAGTGGCTGTGTGGTGAGGGGCTTGAGGGGGCCTCAAGTAGAGGAATGCAGCCACTCCGCAGAGAAGGAGCCCAGAAGATAAAAACCCTGCCCTCATCCCTTCCTGCCCTCTGCTCTGCTTTCATGCTGCCCACGGGTGAAACCAAGGCAGAAGCTGGTGGGCAAGGGAGCCTGTTGCTTGAACCCATCTTGGTCAGGAAAGAAAGGATGGAGAGCAAGGCCTACAGGTGCAAACGGGAGAGCACCCAGCACAACCATTTGTCTTCCAATTTAGTGTACACAGTTCCTCAGGCAAGTTTAATACATTGGACCGAAACACTACTTAATCTATAATTAAGTTAAATACACAAGCACAATAACTCACTCAGTTGGTTACCTCTACTAGGAGTTGTCTTAGTGTTTGGTAAGGACCATGATGACTTCTTGGAACTCTATCTCCCAAACAAGCTTGAGAACCACCAAGAGAGAGCCACATGCTGTGATTCAGTGGGTACAGAGGGGCCCCTGGAATCTACATTTTAAACAAATGTTCCAGGAGACTCTGATGCAGGAGGTCTAAGGACTAGAGTTTGAGAAATGCTGCCCTAAAGTGTTCTGCATCTCCTAGGTATCTTAACAATGGCACCTCCTTGCCCTGGCCTTTTTTTGTCAAATTCGTGAACAGAAAACAGCATTGGACCTGCTAAACTGCAGATCCCAGACCAGCAACCTCAGAAAACAAACACTGCACGCCCTGTGGTTACTGCCTCTGAGCTGCTCAGCTCTCCTAGGCAGGAAAATAGATGTACTGAGACGAACAGTCGCTGGAAGAAGTGCTTCTCAGAAGACATGAATTCCCTTCGCACATATTCTGATGGACTCAAACTTGGGGGATCAGAGAGAATCTTTCTGGGGTCAATGCCATCCTCCTGGAAGCTTCAGACAGAGCAGCTGTTTTCAGGTTAATAAGGAAGTTCTTGTATGATGGCAGTGGGATCAGGGCAGGGTGGGGTGAGACTGTACCTCAGCGCTCAGGTACCTTTTTTCACAGCAGTGGGGGAAAAGTCATGCCGATTGTAGGAATATGTTTTCCTAATACAAGCTGGACTGTGTGTCGGAAGGTGTGTTTGAAATTGGCTTTGGTCATTGCTGAATTGGAATAGAAAGACCCATCATTTTTTATCCACCTTTGGGGGACCCTTCCCCTTTAGAGCCAAAAGAGGTAGGAAGTTAGGAAGTCCTGATTTAAATCTGTTGGATTTTGCGAGACACAAGTGGGCCTGGACACCTATTGAATGGGTGATTATGGCTGAAGGGGACTCAGAGGGGCAGACCAAGAGAGGAAAAGGAAGGCAGAGCGGGGAACTGGGAGTGCACATAGGGGAGAGCCTCCGGAAGCCTAAATGGTGAGATTTCATCACCCCACCATCCCTGCCCCTTGTGTGATACAAGGAAAAGAGACATTTAGAGGCGTCATAGGAAGAACTCCCGGCTAGTCTCTTCTATATGGGCTTAGTCTTCAGTAAAGGAACACTTTGGTTTTTGTTCCTGCCAGCAAGTGGTGGCTTACTATCCATGTGGCCTCATTCTAGTCACACACTGCTCTGCCTTCCCAGGGTTGTTCTGGGGATCCAGTGATGATGCACACAATAGACAAGTGATATTCTCTATTAGCCCTGTCCTTTGATGCCTGTCTCATCCTCCCAGTGTTGTCCCAGGATGCTGCCTTCTGGTTAACTTGGTTTCTCTTTCCCAAATATGGAATTCTCCACATGGCATCATGTCTTCTCCTCCTTCCATGGTTTTCAACCCCCTCTTCTGGAAGTGCTGGAAAGGGCCACAGATGAAGGGAGGAACCCAAGCATCTGATTCTAGAAGAAAGGAAGACCCCCGTGGCTGGGACAGCAGGATGGTTCTGTGGTGCAGTTCTGTCCAGGTGAGGGCACAGTGCAGTGGTCCAGGGCAAGGACCAAGGCAGATTTAGCAGCTGTCCCCTCTATACCTCATGACCCCCTTCCCCAAGACAGTGATCGATAGTGGAAAGCATTGGACTCTGTCTTTATTTAATGCAAACCCTGGGCTGCTAAGAGGCCCAGGGCATGTCAGGGGCTGTATCTTCTCCTCTGATGAGGTAAGGCACACATCCAAGGCTGTTAGTGAAATGAAGAGAGTCGACAGGGCCAGGAAGGTGGGATCCTGAGCCTTAGAAATAACCTGTGTTACAGATTCAGCTCAGTCACTGTGCCCCCTACTTCCACCCCTTTCACACTCTTCTTCTGGCACAACTGCCAGATGGACCGGGATGGAAGTCACAAGGCATTCTTGTGGGTTCATGAGTCTAGGGTCCAAATGACCTCTGTGTGACAACCAACAGGACAGTGAAGACCAGGCTCTTACTGAGGATTCCACACACCACGATAGTGATGATGGTGATCAGAGAAATCCTGGGGGAGAGAGAAGATTTAATGATGCTGTTGGCAATGACACTCCCTCATACTTGAGTTCTACTCTACGAAAGCTCTTCACACCACTTATTTTATCTGCGTAGGTCCTTCCAGAGCCTTTCCCCATACTGACTGGCCCTGTGCATTTAGTTTGTCCCATTGCCTAAAACTGCTGATTAGAAATAGATTTAGTAGAGAACATAGGGCCAGGAGAGGCAGCGAGGAGAAAGGACAGGTTGGGTAAGCTCCTCTTCCTCCACTGTGATGACTAGAGAGAAAGAGGTCCCAGAGCCAGGAAACGTAGTTCCTATTCTCAGCATCATGCCCTACTTGGGGGAAAGGTCCCTCACCTCTTTGGCCTCAGATCCTCCTCTATCAACAGAGAAGAATCCAATCCTTGTCAAAATCCCATCATGAATTTTTATAAATTTTTGGCAAAAATGATGCTAAATGTGCTGGGTAAATGTCAGTAGATAGCATAGAAAGGATTAGAAATGAGTGAGGACACTTGGCCTGTCTAGACTCAGTAGATATGAAAACAGGTTATTGCACAAGTAGCCTGCGTGATAAGATACGGGACAAAAAGAGAAAAGGTAGCAGTGAAACAAATTGAAATCCAAAGACAGATCAAATGCTATGTAAGAATTTAGCATTTAAGGAGAGCAATTGGCAGCCCAGTAGAAAGGCAAGGATTGTTTACTAAATAGCTTTGTGGTGCCCGGATTGCAATATGAAGAAAAAGTCACCTTTTCTACAATTTATACCATATAGAAAATACTTCCCCTTCCCAAAGATAGACTAAAATTTTAAATTAAAAATTTTAAATAATAGAAAAGTCACCAGGAAATAGAATCAAGCACAAGTAAGGAATAAAACAAAGCAGTGGAGTAGAGACAACAAGCTGGAGGCACAGATAACCACAGTCCCCACCACCTCCCGCAACCACATCAAAATTACAGCTAAAATACAGAACCACCATCACTCAGAACCTCCTGATATCTGGCTGAACAGAAGCCCTACAACCAGGGAACTGAAGAAGCATCCAGACCGGTAGGAGGGGCAGAGACTCTGGAGGACAGGGGCTGAATCCCAGAGAGATGCAGCCCAGGGCCCACACCCAGTGCCACAGTTTAAACCCAGGAGGGACACCTCGGCGGCGGAGGTTTCCCAGAGGAACAGGGGTCCCAGCCCCACATCAAGCCCCCAGCTCAGGACTCCAGGGCCGGGAAGAGAAGTCCCCACAGCTTCGGGCTATAAGAACCAGTGGGGACTGTTGCTGAGGGTCCCAGAAGGTGCAGGAGCCCCAGGCTTTCCTCTCAAAGGGCCCACGCACAGACTCAGACGTGCTCCCTCTGAGCCCCAGAGCCAGGCGGCAGCTTGAAAGGAACCTGGGACACTTGGGGAGGAACTAAGCTGCCTGAAATTGGGGCGAGAGGTGGAGGGGCAGCTTTCTCCCAGGCAGAAGAGCTGGCAGAGGCCAGTGCCCTTTGGGGAGCCCTCCCCACCCCCAAAACCGGCAGGCAGGCACCATATTTGAATCTCCAGCAACTGACTCACACCTTCGGCCCCACCCCGGTGATTCCTGGAGGCCCTGCCCCTCCCTACCTGCAAGTTCATCCAGGCCATTTCCAGTGGCTTTTCTGTGCAAGTGGCCTCTCGAGCCTTATGCATAGGGCTTTCCTAAAATCTCTCAAACAAGCAGCAGCATGCCCCATATG